TCTGTTCTCAAGAGCTATCTCTTAGACCACATTCCTAGATATTTTGTTAGTCTACTCCTCTATAGAATCCTGGACTTTGCCCCTCTCCCCATGCTGAAACTTTGAATGTCAACATCCTTCTTCAGCTCGTGTGTCTCCATTTCTCAGTGCAGCTCTGAAAGTTGCCTGCCCATCTCCTGGATACCTCTAGGTTCGTAGCTCTGCTTTTTTCTATCTACCATCCTTTCTCCACATGAAGCCCGAATCCCTGTGTGAACTGTAGCCTCTGCCCTGAACCCACAGTCCCACTGGGATCCTCAGTTTTTGCTGTTTCTATACCAATTGCTCATTCACCCATCATATCAAATCTCTACAACAGGGTTTCTGAGTGCTACAAGTCCCAGTGACTCTGAGCTGTTTCATGAATGCTGCCTTTGGTCTGGTTAGTCTTGGCCCCTACAAGTGATGCTTTGCCTGTCCTTGCTCAAGTTCTTTTCCAATCCCCTCCCAACTGGCCTGGCTGTTCGAAAGCATACCCAGTGTTATTCTTGCCATCTTTATCCCTTTGTCCTTCTCTAAGCACATCTACTATAAAACAAGGTTGTGGTCCCTAGTATCTCACCCTACACCTGCAGTTCTCTCAGCATTTACCTGAATGTGTTTTTGTTCTTGTCACTGAGTGGAGGAAACTCAGCTGGCCCAGGGTCCTGGCCAAGCCAGCCTGCTTCCTTCTGGCAGAGGTCTATCCCTGTTTCAGAATGGTTCTTCTAGGCTTCTTCAGAACCTGGAGCCTACCTCTCACGCTCCCACAGCCCCATGATGGCATGAGACGTCTTGGGTGTCAAGGGGTGGTGCACCTCTACAGCCTCAATTCCCCTTCTGTAACATGCTCTACATCCTGGATTCCGGGATTCCATTTCTAGGAATGCTGGTGCTGTTTTGAGAGCCAGCCCTTAGTGCAGAGACAATTGGAGTAGCCCAACTTAGAGAGAAAACAAAAAGTTAGGACATCAAATCCCAGGCTTACAACATCCAGCAAAAAATGATGACAGAAACCCAGTTAAGGAATCTAGTTGGAGTTCCCAGAGCACAGTTCTTCCTCAGGTAAAGCTTCCAAGTGAAAGGACAAATAGCAACAGGTAGATAGCATCATGGCCCGGTTATCCAGCAGAAACTGACTGTAAGTTGAGGCAGTCAACCAGTGTTCACAACTGAGAGAGTCCTTCGGAAGGAGCCTCTCCATGGAGGAGCTTCTGTGACCCCTTAATCTCGGTTGTAAATAGTCTACCTTCTAGCTATTCTCAAGGACACAATGTCTTCCACGCCCTTAGTTCCTTGCTGTTTTCCTCTCTCTGTTAAAGAGCCAGAGACCAGCCTGACCCAGGATGGTGAGGGGCCGTTAGAGAACACCTCACATAAAAAAGCTTGGGTTTGAAATGGAGGGCAACCCTGCTTTCCAAGCCAACTTTTCAGTGAAGCTCAAACAATATGTGGAAACTCACCAATACAGATGATAGTAAAAATCCACTATTAATATAAAGCGCCCATTTTTATCACAGTTATTGTACACGTGCACTTCTGCATGCCATGGCACGTGTGGGGATCAGTGGGAAATTTGCAAAAGTGGTATCTCTTCTGCACCCTGTGGTCGCTGGGATTGAAGGCAGGTCCTCAGGCTTGATGGCAATCATTTTTACCTGATGAGTTATCTTGTAGAACCCAACCATCTATTTGTTTATTCATTTATCATTTTTTTCTTTCTTTTCCTTCTGTGACGCTTTAGCAAGAAGTTGACAGCCACAGTGACTAGAAGAGGGTTCCAGAACTGAAATCACTTGTTGAAAAAAAAAAAAAATAAGGTTTCATCTGTGCATGTAGTTGAGAAATTGTCTGAAAGTTTCCATTAGGTAACACTCAGTGACGGTGTAATGGTGTTTATTTCTCCACGTTTGCTTTTATCAACAGATAAAGTGTTGCCTTTCTCCTGTTATTAAGGAATAGAACATTCTGTCATGTTCGTTGGGCGTTCCTTCTTTTGTTTTCTTGTCTCTGCCTCTGCTTGTTTGGCTTGGAATCCTGTCCTTGTCTCAGCTCTGAAACCTCCTTCCTGTGAAGACCAGCCTCCATGAAGATGATGCAAGCCTTTCCTTGTTTTAAACTTCATGTGTGTCCTGATGCCTCACAAGTGAGGCAGCCACTTTCTGTAGTATTGTTTTCAAGTAAAGCCTGTCTGCGAAAGGCATAGCTCTTAAATCCAGTGAGTTTTAAAAGGGCACAACTCTCATGCAAGCTGCATTCCACATTCCATGTGCATCTTTTCCTTTTCTTTGTAATGATCTACCTGCTCTCCCCCACAACCCTCTGCCACTGTACAGCAGAGTGCTCATCTGGGTTCTGGTTCCTGGGTGTTCTGCTGTCGCCTGGTTTCATCACCAAGAGCTACTCACATTCATTTGCCTATGGTTTACTTTTATACTGCTGAGTAATATTCTTGCATATTTCACAACTGGGGTTTGCCCGTTTCTCTGCTTATTATGTTAACAGTTCTAATTAAGTCAAGTGATCAGTACTTGCTTTTATGACTGTTGACGGTATGCCTGACGGATAAGTTTAAACATTTTTTGAAATGCTTAAATCTCCCTCTTCTTGATGAGGTAGAAATTTGTTACTTTCTTCACATTATTTGCATTTTGCGTTCCATCTTCTTTTCTCACTGATTTGAAAACCCATCTTCATTACTTTTTAAGTCCCTACAGGATTAATATTATAAATAACCAACCATTGGCCAGGCAGAAGCCCTGGCTCAGAAGGCTGCTCATCAGTGAGAACTGGAATAGCCAGGCCCTATCAATTCCCACCTGAAAGCCTATTTATTTACTGGGAGCGATTTTACCTTCATTCTTCATCTTGACTGTTCTTACCTGTTCATCTTTCCAATCATGCCAACTCTCAGTTGCTTTGGAAATTATACCTAGGTATTTACTGTGTTCTCTGGTTGATGTGATTGGGAATTTTCTGCTCATGTGTTCTAGAGTATCTAATGTGCTTAGCTCAATGCTTACCACATACTCAATGTACATTGCCTGGAGCTGTTAGTATGTCCTAAAGTTTTTTTCCTACCTATGTGTTAGTGATCAAATCCAGAGTCTTAACCATGCATCTTGCCTCACTGCTTTGGCTGGTTCTACTTCTAAGCTCTGAGATGCTAGGGTTATAGCATATAGGGATATCTCTGTCTGGCCAACCCTGACCACTCCCAGCACTGGGGGGGAATCCAGTCCCTTGTTTGTGCCTCTCAGGTGTGCTCTCTATCGAATCTGAAAGCAGTTTTTGTATTTGTTTTTAATTGGTGGGTTTCTCCTAACTCTTGGATGCTTTCGTATTAGGGATCTGTCTTTCTGATCTACAGAATGGTTTCTAACATCAAGCTTCTGTTTGAGAAGAGACTGTCAAGCCCTATAGAACCCCTGGGCGGTGCTTGGGTAGCCCTTCTACACCGTTTGCTGCTCATAGAACTTTTGTTGAGGTTTGTCTTCCGTTCAGTAGTCTGATTACTGCACGTCTTTACCCTTTCAAGTACTATCAGTACTGGCTACCGAGCCTGTATTATTTTGTATGTAAATTTGGTAGTGTACTTTCCTATAAGCAGCTGCACTAGCACTAAGCGCCTTCATTTTCTTCTGCTCTTTCTGATCCCAGAATTCATCTCTTGGCTTCATCGCTGAGCTATTCTAGCAGATGAATTTCTACCAGTGAACGAAGCTTTCTAACTCACTACTACCCTGAGACAATGAAAAGAATCTATTGCATTTTGCTTGTTGTTTTCATCCACATACTTACAGTTTTCCCTTCAGTCATGGATCAAAAAACGCTTTTAATCTCTCATCAATTCCTATGCAAGGCCTAGTAAAAAAGGCTGGTATCCTAGGCCACTGGTCAGGCCACGTAGAGTGGACGTGCTCTCTCCTGCGTATTGGAGGTGGGATTCATGAAATACAATGCACACAGGATGAAGTTGTACTACTCATCTCCTGATGAAAGGAAATGACCTCTGGGGCGCCAGAAGCGTGGCCTTTCACGCCCACCTACACTCGTGAACGCCAATTACTGGCGCTTGGCTCAGGCCTAGTAGAAGGCCAGCGAACGGGGTGATCTCGGCAAACCGGGGCGCAGTGGCGGGGAACCGGGGCCTACACCTCCGCAACGGCAGCTATCCCTGCAACCCCAGTTCCCACGGCCACGCCAGGGCTTGGTACCGGAGCCGCACCCCCGAGCGGCGCGCTGGCCGCGGGGCAGGGCGGGGCCGCTGCGCCTGCGCACTCCCACAGGGCTCGGCGTTCCCGGCACGCACCCCACGTGACCCGTGCCTTGCCCAAGATGGAGGTTGCAGCCAGGCCTGGCCGGGCCCCCGCCTGAGTCTGCGCCCCTCCGCGTCCCCTCGGAGTATGAGACGGGGGCTCAGGCACACCGTACGGACCTGGGCGGCGCCGCAGGCTGCCGAGGAGGTCCGGCCACGACTCCAGTCAGTGAACGCCCGAGCTCCCGGCTCTTCTTCCGTAGCCGGGCTCCCAGAAGTAGCGCCTGGAGGGGCTGTCGGTACGCCCCGCTCCCTGGAATTGACAATGCCGGGAGCCTATGGCGCTCGGAACTTCTGCGAGAGGGCGGACAGAGGCCGAGCCTCTCGGCTGTGCCCGCCGAGCGGGGCTGGCTGTTGGGCTGTTGTGGGGCGGGTTTAGGATTCGCGGACCAATAGGAAGGCAGCTGAACTCTTGGAGGCGGGGCCGAGCCGTAATTGACGCTTTCTTCATTAGAAACCAGGCAGTGGGCGGGGCCCGCGGGAGGGAGGTGACGCAAGGCCGTTGCAACCAATGGCTGGCGGGCCGCCGGCGGGGGAGGCGGGGCCGGGGCGCCTGACGGGCGTAGGGCGCGGCCTATCCCCGCGCGGCTCTGCGCTCGAGGGGGAGCAGCATCATGGTTCAACGTGGGTCAATTTTTTGTGAATGAGGAGGGGAGGTTGTGGGGCCGCCGCCGCGGAGCACCATCCCCGCCGCCGCCCGAGCCTGAGCCCGCGCGCCTGCTCGCGCCAACGCCGTCGCCGCGCCGCCTCACGCCCGGCCCGCTCTACGCGGCTCCTGTCGCCGTCGCCGCCCGAGCCCGCCCGCCCGCCGGCGGCGGCGCAGGCTGAGGAGATGCGGCTCGGAGCGCCCGAGCAGGGCTAGACGCGGCCCGCCGCCGCCGCGGTAAGCCACCGGCCGTCATTGTCCGCGCCGCCCGGTCGCTGGCGGCAGGTGGACGCCCGGCCCCGCCGAGGCCTCGGGGCCCTGCGCCGCGGGCTGTCGGGCGGGAGAGCGGCCTGCGCCGGCGGGCGGGCAGGTGGGCGCGCGGGGGCGGGGGCCGGGGCGTTTATGTAACTTTGTCAGCCTGTGAGTTTGCAGAAAACGCCCCTCGGCGGCGGCGGGCGGCGGGGCGGGGGCCGCGGCTGGGCCCGGACGGTCGCTGCGCGAGCCCGGGAGACGACCCGGTGTCCACCCCGAGCGGGGGGCTCCGAAGGCACGGCTGTAGCCCACACCGCAGGAGTCGGTCGAGAAGGCCGGGTGTGGAATCCGTATTCGCCCTTAATGCACACCGAGAATTTGTTAATAACTTGCAGCCGCTGATAGCAGTGTTTTGGTTATTGCATGCTGTAAATTGACCTGCTGTGACACGATTTTCAAATAAAGCGTCGCAGAAATTAAACTTAAGTTATTTTAGAACTAATGACTTTCTTAACTAAATCCTAATTGCATTACTGTAGAGACCTACCTAATTGCTTTCTGAGAGCCACTCTGCCTGCTCGGGGAGGGAGGAAAGGCCTGTGTAGTCACTTTGCCTCCCTGCTTCTCTCGCTGAGGCTTTCTGCCTGTTCCCACAAACCACCTAAGCATTTAAGGCCTGGGAGTATTAACGTGTAAACAGCCCTGGCCCTGTCGCACTTTGGGGCTAGGGGGGATGCTGGCAGCTTGCACCTTGACCTGGTTTCGCTTTTTCCTCCGCGATACGATCGTGGTTGCAGGGAGTTTTAATTGCTCCTGATGATTCCGTGAATTATTTCAGGACGGCCAGATGAAAGCTAGTGTGGTGGTTTCAAAATCCATCCAGAAAGGTGGTGGTGGTGGGGGGGTAGTGCTTCGGGAGAGGCAGGGAGAGTGAATTAAGAAAACTCAGCTGCTTGTACACAAATATACACTATAACAGTTACAAGGCAGCAAAAGTTATTGCAGAATTTTGCAGTCTCTATGGCAACACAATTACTCCATTATAATTGGAAATGCAGAATGCCACCCAGTTAGAAGTTTCATCAGAATGGAGTTTTGGATATCAAAAATATGCGAGGTTTAGTTAAAAATTGCCCTCCCCCCCCCTCCAGGTAGCTTCTGCAGCTCTAGTCTAGGTTCAGTTGTCTATTTTTAAGACCCATCCGCTTTCCCAGATCTGCCACTCCTCGGGATCTGTGGCGTCTTTCCCCAGAAGAACTCCCCATTCGTGTGGGAGGAAAGGATTTTCATGCCTTTAAAAACACACACCCGACACACTGTAAGACTTCTATGGTTTTCTGTGTTCTGGCTTCTCCTTTAAAGATCAAATGCCTTCCTGAAGAGCAGTAATCACCCAGAAGAAGCTGGGTTTGCTAGAAGGCAGAGGTAACACTGCCCCCTTTAGGGGTCTGCTGACTGCTTATAGGGGAGATGGGAGCCCCTTGAAGGAGAAAAATTACTGTGGACTGCAAAGAGGCCTGGAAGGCCTAGGGACCAAGGACAGATGTGGCGAAAGCAGCCCTAGCAAGAATGTTCTGTGGTTAGTAGCATCAGAGAGATGTGCAGCATATAAAGCCCCCAGATTTCACCTTCTCAGAAGCCTAGGGGCTGCTGTGCATAAGGTGGGCAAGAGAACATGGCACTCTGCTTTCATGGGGCTTCCGGCACCCAGCTTGACTTTGGTTTCAAACCTGTGTTAGGAGGAGTCCCCTCTTGATGTTTACCAGAAGAGCTCTAGTGCTGGAAGTTTCCACACATTGTGGGGCTGCTGCAGCTTAATTTCGTTATAACTCTTTCCTTTTAACTACTGCATATTTTTGCCCAGTAATCGACTTCCATTTTCCAGCCTCATTGTGAGGTTTCAATGCAGCATGAATGGCTTTGAATTCCAATCCTTTGATGTTGGGGGTGGCACCAAAGGAAAGGCGACTTTGTGCCGTCCTAATTGCCAGAGCAGAAGAAAATTTCATCACTCCTGTTGAGCCTAGTCCATGCCATTTTCTATTGAAAACGGCTGGTTTTTCAGAACTCTGAAGCTGCCATAAGTAATACATTAATACCTGATGTAGGGAGCCAGGGAGATGCAGAAATGAGAGACACCTGCTGTGCTGGAAGATTGGGGGTGGGGGGTTCAATCCCAGGATCAGAGTTTTGGATGTCTGGGCCTCTGGGGTGACTGTGCAGGCTTGGGAGAGTGAAGCCAGAGTTGAGCTCATGCCCCATTGGTTGTAACACAGTTGGTCCTGGGGTAGGGTCCCCAAAGAGGTGTTTGTAGTGGCTTTGTTTTGATCTCCAGTGACCATGATGTGTCCTGCTGTTGAGCTAACTCTGGCATTAAGTGTGGCCCTGACCCTCCGGGTTCAGTGACTGAGGGGCAGGGCCAGGAGTGCTGCTGCGTTTGAACAGTCCGTTCCTACACAACTCACTGAGCTGCGTTCCTGTCAGTAGGTCAGTTGTTTGCTCTTGGGCTCATGTGAGTGAGCAGGATGGGCTTTGTTTAGGGTGGAATGTGGGCTGGCATCTGCAGCTGCTCTTGGCTTTGCTGCTGTCTTTGCTTCCCTGACATGCCTCCTTACTTCTGGAAGGCCAGACCAGAGTCCACACAAAGGGCTTCCACTGAGACCCTCCATGTTGCTGGACCAGGTTAGACTCCTGTAACCTCCTGAGTAGATTCCAGTGTGCTCTCTGGATCAGGGAGATGACACAAAACAGCAGCTGGTGTTTAATGTGCACCCAGTAAGGGCCAGGGTATGTTTTGAGTGCTTTTCATCTAGGTCTCCTTTATTGCTCCCATAGCTACAAGAGGCGGCTGGTGTCCCATGCCTTTTGATAGAAGGGTTCTGTGAGAGGAATGCCAGCCTTGAGTCCCAGAGGCTGAGTCCCTCTTCTGGGCCAGAGTGAGGCAGTTGTGGAAGGTCAGCGCTGTTGAGCTGTTTGGACAAGCACAGCTACTTTGAGAAGATAGCTTGGAATACCTCTCTAGTGCAGGGCTGGGCTGTCTGTCCTTGGAGCCGCTACAGCTCTCTGGGGAGTAACTTTAATGTCTTCATGCTTCTTATATTGAGTCTTCTGTGTATGATGTTGGGCCAAGGGTAGCATTGAAAGACTCTGGGTTCCGTCCCTAGCATCACAGAATTTGAAAACAGAACAGTCTAATCAGGTTAGCCATTGGTTGTTACATTCTGTTCGTTGCTTGGTTGGGTCTTTTGAGAAGTTCAAGGCCATCTGGGAGCAGGTGTTGATGGCAGAAGACAGTCTATGGTCTGTGTCCATTTCAGCCAGAGCGCTTAGTGTTCATTGGTAGTCTGTCACTTACTGAGGACCACAAACTGAAAACCTACTGCTGTCAAGTCTTCTTATCCTAAAACTAAAGCAGAGCCTTAATAGAAGATGTTGACAGACTTAACAGTAAGAAGAAGGAGGAGGAGAAGAAGGAGCAGGAGGAGGAGGAAAAGAAAGAAGAAGAGGAAGAAGAAGAAAAACTCTGGTGAAAGACTCCATAACCAAGATTCAGAGACAAGAGAAAATCTCATATATAATCTATAAAATTAATGGCCAGTATATAAAGAGCTTTTGCAAACTAACAATAAAAGGATGAGCTTCCGTGTTACAAGATTAGGAAGGAATGCAGGTAGGCACATCTTCACAGTCAAGAAGACTGAGCCTAGCTAATAACCCAGTGTACAGAAGATTCCATCTGTGCCCTTTGTAGTGGTGAAATTGATAAACACCCACAACTAGGATAAGGATTCCTATCCTGTATGGCTTCCTAGAGTTTAACAAGTTACATATAACAAATGCTTAGGGTCCCAGGCTCGTAGGAAGCACACATACTTGTTCTGTAGAGAGAACAATATACATTATCATACAAAATGTTTAATTTCTCCAGGAAAAATATCAAAAGTTTAAGTGGCCGTTCATTCAAGTGGCCGTTCTGTGTCTTAGAATTTATTGTAATGAGAGACTAGTGAGCACATCGACACCCGGATACATGCAGGACGTGGGCTCCGCCATTTGCAGAAGAGCAACTCTGTAGTACCTTTGTTGCTGCAGGACTCTCCCTGTGCATGGTATGTAGAGGCATTTGGCTCAGAGTGGTCTGCAGACTGGCCTTCTGGGGTCTTCAAGGCGATATTGATGGCCATTAGGATATCTGCGAAATGGGGCGTAAGGGACTTTCATTGTGTTTATGTGTGTTCGTGTTGGTTATACATTTTTTTCAGTAATAAAAAATTAAAATGATATAATGGTAGTATTAAAACAGTTGATATTGCTCTAGTTTTTTCAAAGGAGAATAAGCAAGGCCTTGGGAAGTGGGCAGATAACGCTCAGCAGTTAGAGGAGTCTAAGACTGTGCTCTGAGTCACTCCTAAGCTCTCCCAGGTGGGGCTCCTGGGTCTGCTGTGCTGCGGTGCAGCTGTGCTGCAGGCTGTTTCTAATCGGCCTCACGAAAGAGGTCTCTACTTACCACTCCATGCAGGAAATCCTGTTAGGGCTTCTCTGGAAGACACAGAAAGCCTGTAGGCCCTAGCCTCTGGCTTCCCAGGCTTCACTCATGGTATTTGCCTCATTGCCGAGCTTTCCCCTGTGCCTGCTCTGCTTTCTCGCTTCCTCTTGGTCCTCTTTGCCCAGTGTCTTTGCACATACTGCTCCTGCTGCCTCTGTCTTCCCTAGTCCTTCAGTTCATGTCCTTGTTTCAATCTTCTACTCAACTTGGCTAAAGGCCTTCTCACTCCTTTCTCACGTTCTCCAGTTGTGCAATTTCATTAGCTTATTGTGACATTAGTTGTTTAATGTCATCTCTTGCTGGCAGAGACTTCAAGGAGTCAGAAGACCAAGAGTGCCTTATGCCTGATTTTGCCTGGTATATGGCAGCTCAGGTACCTGCTGAATGGGTGGGCAGTAGAGTGCAGGCCTTGGAGGCAGAGCTGGGTGAAGACATACAC